AGGGCTAATATAAATATACTTTTCTGCCCACTCCCATGGAATGTATGAAAACTGTATATTTGAAATGCTTCAGTGAGCTTCTGTTATGTTCAATATAACTTATTAAAACTTGTTAGTTATACTTTTAATAAAACACATAATACAACTTAGGGCTGCACAATATATCAAAAAGTTATCGTCATTACAGTAATAACCTGTACAATATGCATATCGCAGCAACTGTATAAACTGCAATAAATAATTGACTCAAAAGTTAGCATTTTTACATTTTGTCATTCAGATAAAAGCTTGAAATATTTCACCAATCAAACAGAGGCCTTCATGTATTTGGTCAATTAAAAGAAATCAGGCTGGAATGGAAATGATTCATTTTTTTTTTTTTTTCTTTTCTTTTTGGGCTTTGAACCCAGAGCAGAAAGATATCAACACTACGTACATGTTTGTTCATTTATCACAAGTATTATTATCATCGCAGTATTAAACATTGTTATCACACATCACAGGTTTTCCTAAAATCGTGCAGCTGTAATATAACATTTCATCGCTGTGAATTTCATTAAGACATTTCTTAAAGTTTAAAAACAGTAATATTTGTAACAAACTGAATGATTTTGTTAGAATATCGTCTTTCACACATTTCTCCATCACAGTTTCAGTCTCATGTTTACAGGCAGATGTTTGGTTCGAGCTCCTAAAGAGCCGCTGGTCAAAGCTGTAGGAGCACAAGTCTTTACAGACAGAAGTCTCCCTGCTCTCTGTTATCTTTAAGTTCTGCTGAGAATCACCTGATAATGTCAGTGATTCTTTAGTTTCTGTTGTTTTCATCCAGACAACTTGTTATCAGAAGCTAACGTTAGCGCTGAACGTCAACTGGTTGTAAACATACGGCAAGCCAGGAGTGACAAAATATAGAAACGTGTTTCAGACAGATGCACTCAAGACGTTGTGGGGAAGAATCCATCTCAGGCCCCGTGAATCGATTTTCCCAAATTTAAATGAAATCGATCCAAGCTGGGATTATTCTGGGGCCACATGTGGCCCTTGGAAGCTTTGACCAAAGCTGAGCCTCTTAATGACACGTTTTTACATTTTGTTTAGAGTCACAGCAGAAAAGACTTGCTGGTAGTTTTCCTGTCCGTTTGTTTGCAAATATGTGATCAATACTGATGCAAAGAGGGAAACATGTTGATTAGATCATGCTAGTAGAATGTTGGCCCCTTCAATAATCCAACTTCCTGCCTTAAAGTTGGGTCTTTCTCTCAGATCCATCAGGGTTCCCTTAAAAAGAAACAACATATAAACCTGTGGTTCAGCTGTTTTTATTCAATTTAATAAAAACTATTTATAGTGTTTTTCTTGTTTACTTGAAAAAGTTGTCTTAAAGTGTAAAAATAATAGCAAATGTTAACATTTTCTACGTGTTTTTAGTTTCATAATGTCACCCCCACTGGCCGGGGAGAACCCCTTCAACAAACCTGAAGTGGCCCACGGGCCAGCAGTTGATAATCCCAGTTTAGCACGGTTTTTAAGCCAAGGAGCAGAGAAACAGCTGCAGAGCTGTGGAGAAACAGCTTCATGTTTGTTTTCATGCTGTTGTCCTGATGAATCAAAGAATCAGCGCTCGATTGATTTAGGCTTTTTCCTGTGTTCTTAACTCGAGGTAAAATACTCTGAGTTGTAATCAGCTGATTGTTGGTTCTTGTGAAAAGACATTATTTTGAAACTTGTTTGACTTCAGAACAAACGTCTTCAGAACCGTCGGGATGGATGTGTGGACATTTCTGTAATCCTGAAACTACCTGACTAATAATCTGCGTGGTTCTGGTTAATCCCTGGGATGTGGTTCTGGTTAATCCCTGGGATGTGGTTCTGGTTAATCCTGGGGATGTGACGTGTCGGAGGGGAAAAGTAAAGATTCTCAGGAGGAATACTTCTCATTCCGTCTGCTGTTTCCTGTGATTATTGTGGAGTCGGAGGCTGTTTTTTTCCAGGTCAGGAGAGGCTGAAACGTTCGATCGTTTCTGTTCCCGACTCAGATTCAACCACAGAGTTTTGTTTTTTAACGTTTCCACAGGTTGATCAGGAGGATCAGTGATGCTCTGACAGCTGGGCTCAGTTTGTCCTCAGAGGAAACTTTGTTTTTCTGTCTGAACTTCAGAAAGTCAGACTGACCCAGGCTTAGAATAGAATAGAATAGAATAGAATAGAAAGAGACTTTATTGTATTTTATTGTGATTCGCTGCTGTTTCCACCGACTGACAGGAGAAACTGAGTCTGTTTCTGTTTTTAACAACAAACTCAAACACAGGAAGCTGTTCATCAGTCTGAAAGCTTTCTTTCTTTCTTTCTTTCTTTCTTTCTTTCTTTCTTTCTTTCTTTCTTTCTTTCTTTCTTTCTTTCTTTCTTTC